TCAAGGAATCCAATTAACTTCTTCAGGAAACGTTGCGGTTTCCAGTTAGACTCCATCACCACGCACGCGTCTGTCGCTTGCCTGTGCTTCTGGGCTCACCAGGCGTAGGATATGGCCCAGCAGCCTGGGTATCATCACTACGACCCCAGAGTGCAAGGTGACACATTGTTATCATTGGTTATCAGAAAACGTGCCTTTCTTATTGGGATAGTGATATGTGCATTTCTGATTACGCAGCAACCCCTTTGAATATTTGACTTAGATACTAAAAACATTTGGACATCGAGGTTTTGCACTCGTAGATACAATTTAAAAGCATGGAACTGCCAATGTAATTAGACGTTTTCTATACAATGCACCTTGTTACATTTCTGTGAAAGGCTTGTAACCAGTGCAGAGTAACTATGGCTGAAGGGTTGAGAGAAACAACCATTTCTTAAAATAGTTCATTGTTTCAATGAGCATAATTACTTTCTTAGTATATTTTTAAATTCAAATGGCTTAAAAGTTTTTGCATCATCTCCAAGAAGCCTGTATAGTGCCTCTTGGAGGGAGTGACGGATGTGGCCCCCGAAGAGGGTCGATGAATGAAAGCTGAACCGCGCAGATACTAGAGAAGTCACGGTTATGGACCAAAGTGTGACCGTAAGACACAGCACATTGAGAGAGAGACCCAAGGCCCCCAAAGCAACTCCAAAAATTTCATTTCCTATGTGAAAATGCATTTTGTCTCCCTTATACATCTCTATTGTTCTTGTTCTTAATCCAGAACCTTCAATAAAGCTTTCCTAGAAATGCCCTGGCTTTTCTCATGCTATTTGATAACCAAATAAGCTATTTTTCAGTGATGTAGAGTCGGCAACAGTAGAGGCCTCGTGGAGCATTTCCTTACCAATATCTCAACAGGAACATAAAAACGAGGAAGGTCTTTGGTCAGTATGTACAGGTTACCCAGGACCCAGGGAAAGCTTCCTTGATAAGAGCAACTTGCCAGGAAGGAATTTCTCTAACAAAGAGTCATTCATGAGTTGAGATTGCTCTTTTAGGTATCAATAAGGCAAAATTCTCACTAACCCTAAAAAAGAAAAAAAAATAGTAGGGGGCGCTGACGTGAAGTTACTCCAAGCGAGAGGCCTTCTGAAGGTGGCTTTTTATTTTTGTTTTTACAAAGAGCACAGAGAGTGTGTATCTATGCCAGCCCTACACACAGACTCATTTTCCTTCTGTGTATACTGTATGTACGATCCTTGGG